ACCAATACCCTCCTTTCAGGGCATTTTTTTAACTGCCCTCAGCTGTGTTTTGTTTTCTTCAGGCAGGCTCAGGGGAAGAGCGGATGGTTGGATGCTGATTTATATTTAGGCAGCTGTGCTTTTTGTATCAGCAGTCAAATCAATATAGGAAAAGATAAATTTGCCTTCTTTTTAAGTAAATTAGTCATGATTTTTTTTAATTAAAAAAAATGTTTCCCTGTTTTGGTTTGTTTGTTTGTTTGTTTGCATAATTTTGAGCCTTGCAATGATTGATGTGGGCAAGGCAGCAATCAGGCAGGGAGAGGAAACATATGCAAGCTCCCTGGATCAAGGAGATGGCCTAGCCTGAGTGAAACATGGCAAATCGCGACTGCAGATACTACCTGACCAGTGTGAAAAATGCATTTCTTTGGCTCAGCAAGTAAACCAAACATAAGCAATGGGGGAAAAAAATCAATATTAAAAAAAAAAAAAAGAGACGGAGAGAGAGAGAGAGAGTCTTCAATGTTTTTCCTTTAAAATCAAAGCAGAAAAAATCTCATTTGGAGACAGAGCAAAACAATTCATACAATATAATCGAGTTATTTTATTGCATACCAGACTAGACATTTTGTTCGTGCTGTTCTACTGCATATATTTTCTTTTGGTGGTATTATAAAATAAAATAAAATAAAATAAAATAAAATAAAATAAAATAAAATAAAACAAAAAAGTAACAAATGAAAATAGTATAGTACTATTTAAAATTAAAAAAAAATACATTTTAAAATGGAAAGATGAAAATTTCAAAATATCAAAAGATGCTGAACGAAAACACACTGCTATTCCTGCAGCAGGATGTTTTCTTTTGAAAACGATGACATTCAGTGTTTCTTCAGGTTTGGTCAGCTGAAGCTTCCCGGTTGGTACAGCCAGCCAAAAGCTTCATTTTGCAGTGCTTTCACTATTTGATGAAAACATCATTTGAAAATCAGTGGGTGTTGACCCTGGTCTTGAGGATGCACCGATAGTGGCTCTTCCAGCCCAAAGCCTCCTGTGAGCCCTGCTCAGGTCCACGACCCAAATACTCCTGCTAAGGATCCGATCACCTCCTTCTCCCCTGCCAGGGGGGATACACAGGTTTAGGGAAGGGAGAGCAACCCCCTTCTGTGCTGTGTTTGGCCCAGCCTCACACACACATTCTCCCCAAAATGAATCCTAAAACGCACACCCCATGGGGCTGCAGTGGCCAAATCCACTCCCCACCTGGCACACCCCAGGAGGGGAAACCGAGCCCTCGGCACCCAACAGCGGGTGCTTTGGGGGGCTGTGGCTGCCTTTGGGGTTAGCCCCAGCACGCCAGCAGGGATGAACTGTGAGCCAGGCCACCACGCCCGTCCCAAGGGGCGGATCCCAAGCCCCCCTTTTTGCCGCTGTGTCCGCCCGGGAGTACCCGCTCTCCCACTCGGGAGCGCGCACCAGTGCAGGTACGTGCGGCGCGGGGCGGGGGTCAAGGCGGGCGGGCGGGCGGGTGCGTGAGTTGCGTGCGCGCGCGCGCGCCCCCGCGGGGCAGACGGGACGGCCGCGCCTATTGCATCAGTCGGGGCGGGACCCGGGGAGGGCGCCTGGCTCGCACAAAGTGCGGCCGCCCCGCCCCGCCTTGCCCCCACCCCCCCGACCCCAAATCCCCGGCACCCCCCCTCCCCAACCTCGGCGGGCCCGGGAGCGGCGGGGCAAGGTTGCCTCCAGCCGCCCGAGGGGGAATTGCGAAGATAGGAATGATTGGGGGGGTGATAAAATTTTTAAAAAATAATAAAATAAATAATAATAAAAAATAAAATAAAAATGTCCCGCCCTGCACTGGCCTAGCCCGGCTCGGCTCGACTAGGGACGGCGCTGCAGCGAGCCCAGCGCCACCTTAAACCTACACCCCCCCCCCCCCCCCCGCTTCCGACCGCGGAGGCTCTGCCGCCGCCCGGCCCCTCCACAACAACAACCCGGGGGGAGGGACCCCCCCGCCCCCCATTCCCCGGTGGGGATTTTTTTTAATTATTTTTTTTTAATATTTTTTTTTCGGTCCCTCGGGGCTCACTTCGGGGGAGGAGGCGGAGCCGCGGCAGGGTGCGGGGGGGGGGGGCGAGGGACCGGAGCTGGCGGGGGCGGGCGGCCGGCGCCGCTCCCCCGGGGTGGTGCGAGCGGGTCGGGCGCGGCCCCAGGTGAAAGCGGGAGGGCGAGGAGAAAAGCCCCAGCAGCCATCACAATAAATAAATAAATTTAAAATTAAAAAATAATAATAATAAAAAAAATAAAACTAAGGAAAAAAAATGAAAATGAAAATAATTTAAATTTTAAAAATAAATAAATACTAAGGTGGCGTATTTGGTTGCCGGGGCTGCTCGCAGGGCACCGTGCCCCAGCCCGGGGGCTCGCAGCGCTGCCCGTGCACTCCACCACCAGCATCACCCCCACCTTCCCGCGGGGCTCCCCCCGGCACCCCGCTGCCTCCCCCCTTCCCCACGGCCGGCGGTGGCTGCGAGGGGAGGTTTCGCTTGCGCTGGTTGCTGGGATAGGCTGGCTCGGGAAGGCGCCGCTGTTTATTTTCCATCCTGAGCACTTTGTTCGTGTTGGGGGGGAATCCTTTTTTTTTTTTTTCCTTTTTTTTTGAATTTCGCGAGGATTTTTTTTTTCAGTTTACCGGCTGGGAATCCAGCACGCACCCCTCGCCCTCTCCCCAACACCCCTCCCCCAATTTTTTGGGGGGCAACCTGGAGGCAAACTGGGGGAGGGGGGCGGGATGCGGGGGAAGGGCGGAGGGCAGGGTGTTCAGCGATCCTTTGCAGCCGGAGGAGGAAAAGGCCGATGGAAACGCTGGCCCTGCCCGTCCCCTCTCGTCCCGGGCATCTGCCCGAGTCGGGGGGCTGAGGTTGAGGCAGGGGGTGGGGGCGCGGGGGCTCGGGCCTCTCTCCCCATCCTTCCCCAACCGCGGGCCAGCACACCCCAGTGTTTTCGGGGAGGTTTCGGAGGGAGGGCGAAGCCAGGCGCAGCCGGGATAAACAACAGGATCGCGTTGCACCGGGAGGGGGGGCACGGGGGGGCGGGGAGGACCCGGGCGAGGGCTGGGTGAGACTCGCTCAGGGCTTCCCCCCACCCCCCCTCCGCCCTCTTTTTATTTATTTGCGCCTCGTTATTTATTTCTCGCCGGATGAAAACGCCTCGTGGAGGGGGGGGGAGGGTGGACACGGGACGCCCGCACCTTGCTGGCCGTGGGGATGGAGCGGGACAGCTCCTCTGCGCGCCCCCAAAACCCCAAAACCCGGCGGCACCCCCCTCTGCGGGAGCCGGAGGAGCGACGGGGACCGGCGGTGGATGGGGATGGGGGAGGATAAGGGGGGGGCGAGGGGCTCCCACGCCGGGCGCATCCCCGCGCATCCCGGGAGCGGCCGCGGGGCCGGGGGCTGCGGAGTGTGCAGCAGCAGCATCTGCTGGGCCAGGGGTGTGCGAGGCGCCATCTTAGCGAGGCAGGAAAGACCCGCCACCAACGCCAGATTTTCGGGGTGAAAGCGGCTGAAGGGGGAGGGGGGGGACAGGGCATGGCGCTGGCACGGCCACCGGGGCGAAGCCGCGGCTTTGGGGGCCTCCGGCTCGGAGAGCGGGCTTGGGTTCAAATTTGAGGTCTCTCAGAGTCAACGGCAAAATAATATCTCGAGCTACATCATTTTTTCCCTAAAAAAAAAAAAAAAAAAAAAAAAAAAGTGGCAGAGGAAATTCCACTATTTGTAATGGTGAGGGCACGTCCTTCCCGGCTCTCACGGCGCTCGGAGCCGGATCCCTTATTTTCACCTGTGCTCAAGCTCCAGGAAGAGATACCCTGAGGAACCTCGCTGTTCTTTCTTGGAGCAGGCTTATTTTCTCCTGTGCCAGGCAGAGTGAGGTGGAAACACACACTAATGAAGAACATATTTCTTATATATGGCAGTTTTCTTTATTGATTGCTTGATGTGAAACAGTATCAATCTGGATTTTTTTTCCCACACATTACAAAAAAAAATATTAAATTGGCTCAGTCTGCAATCCTTTAAGCACAGCCATATTAATTACCAGGAAAAAAAAAAAAAAGGAGAAAAAAAAAAACTAAAAAGTCTACCAAATAGAGCATTTACAAATGCACAAAAACATGCCACTTTGGCTTTATGGGGAAAAATATTGTCTTCTAGATTAAAAAAAATCTTTTAACATAAATAAGTTAGTATAATTTCTCAGTGTCTTTACAGAGTTATGTACACAAGTACACTTCAAACTTTTTTTTTATTTTTACATACAGTTACACAGGCAATGTAGAAATACTGTTTAAAGATGTAGTATCCCTTTCTCTCACACACAAGCACTTTGGGAAGTGGGTCAGATCAGGAAACAACAACATTCGAGATTCAGAGCAAAAGCCCTCCATATTAGTTTCCAAAAAATAATTAATAATTAAGAAAAAAAAAAAAAAAAACATGCGATATAACAAATAGGATGAATTTCCAGGAGTTTACAGGCATTCAGATTCACTCTTAGGGACTTGAGGTCGGTGGAGGGGAAACCTTTGCTACCACATAACGGAATCATCGCAGCTCCCACCTCTTCAGTTTAATGTAGGAAGAAGTTTCACAAGCGGCCTGTAACAATCTGCTGTAAGCAGCATTACCACGATGGTACATTCAGAAAAAAAAAAAAAAAAAAAATACAGCGGCGGTGGACCCACTTAAAGGGACAATACATCTTTAAGTAATAAAAAGCCTACACTGCTCCTCTTCATACATTTCTTTGCTTGCTAGATTGTGAAAGCAAGTTCCAATCGGTCGCCCTCTTCCACTCCCTCCCCCCACCCAATAACGTTTATGTGCTACATAAGGTAAAAACTATATACACAGGTAGTACAATGAAGCAAATAAGGAAACACCTAATTGCACAATGCTACATCCAATGCTTTTAGAGGCAGGTCTTTTAAGAGTGCCTAAAATTTTAGTGTTACTGTTTGCTTTTTTTTTTTTTTTGTCTTGTTTTCTGTCGTTGTTTTTTCAGTGCTTGTACAGGACCTCCATCCCATGGAGCTCGACGATATGTATCCTCCTCTCTGCTACGCCTTTACGTCTTCCTCACTTCACCGACTCCTGAGGCACCCGATGAACAAGGAACCGCGCCTTCTCCGCTCTGCCACAGGGGAAGAAGACGGCGAGAGGACGTTTAGAAACGGCCCAAACAAACGGGATCCTTTCCCTCGGCGGCCGCCGGGGGGGAGCAACCGGTTCAAACCACCGCGGCCCCCCGGGGCGGGGAGGCGCTGCCCGGGCGGGTCCCGGCCGCTCCATCGGGGCTGTGCTGCCGGGATGCTGCGGGGCTGCTGCCGGAGCCGCCGAGCGTCCTCCCGCCCCGAAAAAAACCCAAAGCCCAAAGGCCAAGCGGGCGGGGGCAGCGGTGTTTGCATAGGGCCGCACGCAGCCGTGCTCCCCCCAGCAGGACTAATTTGCTGCAACTTCTGCTTTACAGCTTAATCTCTTCTGCACAATCGCAGAGTGTGTTTGTAAACCTCTCTCCTAACCTCGGCTCTGAAACAACCGCCGGCGCAATTTACCAAGTCCCTCCACCCCAAGCCCTCGCATTAAAACAAAACAACAACAACGCACCCACAAAAAAAAAAAAAAAAAAAAAAAAAAAAAAAAAGCTCGGCTCCCATTAACCCGCTCCCTTCCCTGCAAACTCACCCCTTTGCCAGCGCCTAAAGCCAAACCAAAAAAAACGAAAAGGGGAAAAAAAAAAAAAAAAAAAAAAAAAAAGCTGCTTGCTTAACTAGGCCCCAGAGTGCCCAGCCTCCCACTGAAGCCCGCTTTTCTTCAGCCCAGCTCTCCCGGGTGGAAGGTGGCCGCCAAGCACAGGGGTAAGGGGGACAAAGCGCCCCGGGAGGGGGCAGCCCCCAGGCCTCCCCACCTACCACCACCCGCCAGCCCACTTGGAGACCCAGTCCTGCCCCTGCACAGCCTCCAGCGCACCTGGCAATGGCCAGGGGGGTCGCAGGAGCAGGGCAGCGAGGAGGGCAAGGGGTGCACAGCTCAGGGGACCAGGGGGGCCAGGGATGGGCTCCTACCACCGCCCCTGCCCTGGTGACGGCTGGGGGCCCGGCGATGCTGTGCTTCGCCCTTGTTTTGTTCTTTCCAAAGGCTGCTGGGAGCCCTGCACCTCCCCACCCCCCCCATACAGCCCCTGCTCCATGCATCCCCCCCCCGTCCGTGCCGGAGGGACCCCAGACCCTCGGGTCCAGCAGAAGGGCTGCTCATTTGCCCCTTCCTTCCCTCGGCCCCATCCTAACACTGAGACCATAAAGGGAACCTACCTAAACGGTTTACGTTTGATGTCTTCTCGGGCTTGATTTCTTGGGTGTTTGCTCCACTGAACTGGCACTGGGGGAGTCTTCTGAAACCTCTTCTTCTGTTGTGTTGGCTCTTTTATTTTGAGGAGAGGAATCTAGGAGGGGAAAATTAAAAATGGGGGAGGGGGGGGAAGACTGATATTAAAATACTTTCCTGCCAGATGTTTGCTCACTAGCCAGGGTGGAGGGGAAGGGCTGGATGGGCAGGGGGGGGTCACTCCCGCACATCCCTGCAGCCTGTGCTAGGGGGAGAGGCCGGGGGGGGGGGGGGGGGGGGGGCGGGAGGAAGGGGAGTTTCTCTCTATGTAAGGGACAAGAGTTTCCTGGGTCTGTCCCAATCTCTGTCGGTGCTTGCTGTGGGTGCTGTGAGCTCCCACTCCTTCCCCTCTCCTCACCCTGTGCCCACAGAGGGGCAGCCAGGAGGCACGGGGTGTTATTACCACCGAGGGGCTTTCGCTCACAAACCAGCCGCCGGCTCCCACCTATTGTAGGACACCCCCAATCCCCCCCAAAATAAAAAAATAATAAAAAAAAAAAAACACCCAGGGCTGAAAACAGCGCCTGGGCTTTTGTAGGCGTCAGGAGGCGAGGGGGCCTGGGCCAGCGCCCAGAGGGGCGCAGCCCCCCGCAGTGCCCCCCGCGGTGGGGTCACGCGTGGCACTGACACCGGCAGGGCACACAGGGAAAAGCGCCCCAAAGGGTACGTTACCGTCGGTGGCAGGTCTTTTCCTCTGCCCAGTGCACTGCTCTGCAAAGTCCGTCTGCTTTTCAGAAAGAGCAGTCTTTTGATCTACACAGTGAGTGTCCTCTGAGATTCCCTGAGAACCGGCAAAAATCACGGTTTGGCAATTCCCGTTTACATCCAGGCTCTGGTGGCCGGCGGACTTGCAGACAGCTTTGAGTAGCCTCGGGGGTCTGAAGTAGAATTCGGGCGAGCTCCCCTTCTCCACGGCTTGCCACTCGTACCTGCCTTCCAGCGGCTTGTGATTCTGGAAATCGAAATTCCACTTCCTCTGGCATGCCTCCTCCATCTCCTTGCGGTGCTTCTTCAAGTCCCTGTTTAACTCTTCGTGGTTCACCGGCCCGAAGAGATTCCTGCAGGCTGACGGCTTCGGGTATTCCGACTGCCGGGCTTCCATGCGCTCCAGGGTAGGGCTCCCATTAGAAATGCGTACGTTTGACATCTCCCCCCGGCCTCTTTCTTCTGGCGGCGCTTGTTTTTCTCGCTGCTCCCCCTTCCTCCTCCTCCTCCTCCTCCTCCTCCTGCTGCTCTCCGCCTTTCACCTCTCGGCGCTCGCAGCTTCTCCTCCTCTCTCCGCACCGCCCCGCTCCGCTCGCCCTCGGAGGAGCGGCGGAGAGGCTCTGCCCCAGGCGCCGCAGCCCCGACGGCCGCCGTCGAGGAGCCCGGGCGGGTCGAGAGCCGCGCGGCGGAGCGCGCAGGCAGGCGGGGAGCGCGCAAGGAGCGCGCAGGGAGCGCGCAGCAGGCAGGCAGGCGGGCAGGGAGTGCCGCTGCCCTCCCTCCCTCCCTCTCTCCGTCCGTCCGTCCGTCCGTCCCTCCGCCGCCCCGGCTCCGCGCTGCCCCCCCCGACGGCCGCCCGGCCCCGCCGCTCTCCCCGCGGCCGCGTAGTAAAAAAAGGGCGAGAGGGGGGGAAAAAAAACCGGGCGAGACGAGCCCGCCCAAAATGGCGATTGAAGGGAGGTTGACGAAGGAGAAAATGATTGACAGGACGAGTCTATTTAAACAGCGGAGCCGAGCCATTGGTTAGGGCGCCGGGCACCGCCCCGTAGCGCAGCCCTACCTCGCCGCCGCCGCTGGCCCTAAAGGTGGCTCCGGCCCCGCTGCCTCCCCTCGGCGGGGCGGGGAGGGGAGAAGCCGGCGCGATGGAGGCCGCTGGCACGGCTCGGCTCGGCTCCGTGTACCCAGCCCGCCCACTGCCCTCCCGCAAAGCCCGGGCCCGGCGAAACTTCTCCCCCCCCTCCGCCCGAAAATAAATAAATAAATAAATAAATGAAAATAAAAATGCCGTTGCTTGGCCGCCGGGCCCAGGGTAATTGTGGCTACGTTTTGGTTCCGTCTTCAGAGCGCCCGGAGCTTCGCTTTGCCCCAGCCGCGCCCCCCTCCGCCCCGGCTCAGGAGGTCAGGGCAGCCCCCAGAAGGGAGGGGGACCCCCAGGGACCCCCCGTCCCATCACAGACAGGAGCAGGACCCTCCGGGACCCCCGTCCCATCACGGAGCCTGTCCGCCAGGAGCGAGGGAGGGATCGCCTCTTGCTGTCTGCCCTGCCGAGGAAGGACCACTACGGTGTGGAAATGGCCCTAGAAAGCCTCCGCAGGGATTTCAGACCTCGGCAAGCAGAGGGTGAAAACGAAAGCCTTTGTCTTAGCCCTGCTTGTGTGCTCTGAAGATTAGGCGAGCCAAAGTCGCAGCCGAAGATCTTCTGAGCCGCTACCTTGGATAGCTGCAGCAGGTACACTGGAGATAAGAGCAACACAGTGTCCTCCTCTGTCCCATCCTTGGCTCCAGCCCCTTCCCACTGCCACCTTCCTTTGGCGGGCAGGTCAGCCCCCTCAGCACGTTGCAGGACACTGGGGCTGCTCGCAGGTGCTGGAGGTTTGGACTTTTCCCAGGGCCCAGGTGGCTCAGGGAACTGGAGACCCTTCACGCCGGGCCATCTGGCAAGGTCAGACACAACCACCTACGGATACTGGTTCTGGGGGGCTGCACCAGCAACAAGCTACCTCAGCAAGGCAGGGCCAGCACAACCAGGTTCAACTGGCTGAAAGAAGCTCCAGCTGGTATGGCCTTGAAGACAGTGAGCTTCTGCCCTGTGCTGTGCTCACACACACCAAACTCAGACACACACCATCTGGGTCGGGGTCTGCAGTTGCGATGAGCCACCCAAACCTACAACACAGTTGCTTTTGCCAGCCAGTGAGCTAAACTCTGCAAATACTGTAAAGGGAACAAAACCAGCTCACAACGCTCAAAACCAGGCCTCAGCATTCTGCTTGCCTCCACCAGCCCCGAGGCAGTGGCCTCTGGCCCCTACTCAGCCCAAGCCCCCTTGCCCAAGTGATCTCAGTACAGCCAGCCCTTGGTTCCAACAACGATGTGTGCAGCCAAAAAAGAAGAATAAAAATGAGATGGGTTTTAAAACCACAAGGTTGAAATAAAATATTAGCCATGTTATTTTTGTTTGTTTGCCGGGATTTTTAGCGCTCAGAAGTTGTTTTCCAGCTTCTCTCAGCAACCACAAAATCTAGCAATCCACTTACAGAAAATTAAAGCTGACATTCTCATGTCTGCAGGAGCTTAGACTTTTTTTTTTTTTTGAAGTTGCAACTCTATGATAAAGCTGCATGAGCTGGCAAAGTGAGGCCTATTCATCTGCTTCATTTGAAGGATTTATTCTCCATTTTTCCAGGCTTTCCTGTCTTTGACTTTCATAGGCACCATCCAGGAAGTGCCATTTCAAACTTCTGTTCTACTTTCTCTGTCAGGTGTGGGACATTTCATTTGTGTGTTGCACAGGAGCGGGGGTGTGTACTAGGAAGGCAATCTACAAAATATGTCATGGGGCTCCTGAAGATGCCCAGGGCTCGTGGTGCTGACGGGGGTTGTCTTGCTGCAGTGCCAACTGGCAACCTGCTGGAACCTTCTCAGGTAAGTAGTTCCCACTCTCTGGTCCCTGCTTTGCTGGGAGTCACTGCCTGAACCCAAGCCCAGAAAAGAAAGGCAAGCTGCTTGCTGGTAGGATTGTGGCAGTGTACCAGAGTACAGAATCATATCATAATGACGGCAATGATTGATGATGGTAGTAATGGGGTGCAAGCATTCGTAAAGACCATGTAGCCTCACAAGTAAACAAACAGGAACATGACTGCAGCAGCGAAGAGCACTGGTTTCTGTCTGTAGCATCTGGAAAAGAAGAAACAAGTTCCTGTGGGACAAGGACCTTCTTTTTTGTTCTCTTTATACTACCCCTGGCACAGAGGCCTGGGACTCAGCCCCCAGATGATGCTACTGCAACTAAAGACAAGTTGCCACTGCTGGCAGAGAAAGAAGGAAAGAGGAGAGGAGCGGTCCACTGCTGCCTTATCCGGCTGCTCCTTCTTCTCCATCGAGGGCCGAAGGGCTGAGCCCTCCGAGGGAGGGGAGCTACGGTGCCCGGGGGGGGGGGGGGGGGGGGGGGGACTGGGAGGAGGCCGGGAGGGCGCCTTGTGATCAAAACACGGGGGAAAAAAATAAAAAATAATAAATCAGCACGGCTGCACTCGGGGACCGCGGCCCTTGCGTTCCTGCCCGCTCCCCCCCCCCGTCGGAGGCAATCCACCTTAAATCGCGGCGGCTGCGAAGGAGAAAGGCTGTGTCTGCAGCGACCTTGCCATGATCTAAAGTGTTTTGTTTACAGTCAGGCACCCCCGATGGCCGCAGCAAATCGTGAGAGAGGCAGGCGCCTGCCCGTAGTAGCAGCGAAGCGTGAAAAAATACTACAGAGCCCCGGAGGAGGGCTGCAGAAAGATGAGAGCGCCATCGTCTTGCAAAAGGAGGGCACAGCAGCCCGGCCCGGGGGCCTGCGGGGAGGAGGCGCTGGGAATGAGGCGGGGGGCGAGGTCCGGGCGGCTCCCGTCGGGGTGGCCGCTTGTCTTCCCCCTGTCGCCTCTGGAGCTGAAGAAGCAGCCGGTGAAAAGCTCGGAATACGGGCTTGCAAGAGGGAAAGGCGAATAAAACCAAAGGAGAGCAAGCGGCGGGCTCGGAGGAGTGACCTGGGGAGGGGTGTCCCCAGGGGGGTCTGTTTTGTGCGAGGATGTCCTGGCTCCTTTCAGCCCCCTGAACGCCCCGTCCCCACTCCCCCCGGCGCCCTGCTCCCCTCTGGCGTCTGGGCTTCCCCACGGGCAAAGCTGCCGGCTGCTTCTCTCCCTTCCAGCACCGCTCAGGCAGGCTTCCCGCCCTCTTCCCGGCCACTCTCCTCTCCCAGCACTTTATAAGGCTGTTAGGCGAAACGGCGAGGCGCATCCGAGCCGCACTCAGCGAGGGGGGTGACCTGGGGCTCCCTCGCAAGCCGCAGGTGGGCTGGGGATGGTACTCCACGGGGTGCACCCTCCTCCCGGCTTGAGGATGGGGAAGGCAAGAGCATGGGGTGACCCGTCAGGAAGCTGGAGGCTTCGGGGAGTTCTCCCCCATCTCAGCTGCCACTGAGTTGACGCTGCTCCCATACCACCTCTGCTTTTTCTGACAAAACCCTGACTTCTTCCAGAGACCTGGGATGAGGCCGCTGCAAGGCCGGAGCCACAGACCCCAGGAAAATTCACCTGAGCACCCTGAGGATACTCCCGAGGCACTTAACGGGCTCCTCGTGGCCAGGGTTAGGGTTCAGCATTAGGGAAGGGTGCCAGAGCCCGGCGGGCAGCATCCCTGCCAGCAGCATCCCAGCCAGCAGCATCCCTGCCAGCAGCCGCTCCCGCTGCCCTGCTGCGGGCAGGAGCCTGGATGCGGCCGCACCGCAACGGGAGGATGCAGCCAAGCGGAGCTGAAGACCTTTTGCTCGGTCGCTGTAAACTCTAGAGGGAGCCTAAGGACAGAGATCAGGCCAGAGTCGGCGTTCCCGGCCTCCTCCTCCCCCCCCCCCCCCCCCCCCCCCCGCCTCAGGTGCCAGCAGCGCTAGGGATGCTCTGGGGGTCCCTGCTCCGGGGGTGCCTCGCGCCGCACCGGGCTCTGCTCCCCTCGCTGCAGGAGGAGGGCGGCTCAGCCCCGGGCTGGAGACCCTGCTACAAGTCCTGGGTGGCATCTCAGGGGGCGAGGAATGGTCCAGGTGATTTTCGAGCCCCTGCGAGGAGCCTGACTGCGGGCAGGGCTAGGGGTGTCCTTAAAGGGAGCTGTTTTGAAAAGCAAGCGGGTAATCTGTCAGAGCTGGGGAAAGGGGCTGGGCCGTCCCACTGTGCCTAAGGGCAGGTTATACAAACTGTTATGTCTGTGGAAGATCCAGGTTAAATTATTAGCACTCAGAGTTACTCATTCTTTTCCCTCTGGAGCTACAGCAGCTCTCCAATGGTCACCATCCTCCCCTTGACCTGCTAAAGGAGCGGTTCTTCTGAATGATCCTGGAATGGGAAAGAATCTCTTGCCAGGGCTCAAACCACTTCCCTCCCCCCCCACCCACCCACCCTTTTTTTTTTTTTTTTTCCTCAAGTATGCAATGAGAGAGAGAACTTGTGCTGCTTTTGAAGCAGGTGATGCTGGGAGCATCCTAAAGGCAGCAGCAATGCAACTTGCTGGGTGATAAACTCTTAAGAGGACATTCAGTTACAGTCCCCAAAAATAAATGCACATACACCCTTGTGTTTAGTTACCCCGATGAACAATGCTGTTGTGGAGATGAGGTTTAAATCAATAAAACAATTCCTTGCTGTAAACTGGTCTAATTTCTCCAAACAAAACACATCATCAGAACAAAAGGATTTTTGAGCCAGTGTAGCTCCATCTGTGATGAGTTCCCATTTATACATCACATAGCACTTGCCACTTTGCTCGAACAGCAAGTTGCTCACATGAGCATCTTAACTAGAGGCTTCTCGTAGCAGCTAAACAGCCTGCTGCCCTTCATTTTCCATTCTCTTTCCTTACTCATTTCTCCTTACCCCTTTTTTCTTTCCCATTTCCCCTTTCCTTTCCTCCCTGCTGCAGTGCCAATCATATGAAACACTCTGAGGTACAAATACATCGGACAAAGCCCTCTAGATTCAGGGCTGACCTTTACGGTAAAACTGAAGGGCCTTGTCTCCACAGTAGCTCTACCTCGGGCTGGTCAGAAGCAGAAAACGCGGCATTTAGAGTGAGGAAGACAAGCCCCACTCAGGCAAAACACTTCAGGGAGAAGGCACCCCTGCACGGATCCTGCAAAGGGGCTAATAGCACTTTCCCACCTCACTGGGGTACCGCGAAGATGAACTGCTTCATGTTTGTAAAATCCTCTGAGGGTGGAGAGCGCTATGCAAGAGCTAAGTAGTAATAATAGTGATGAACTATTATTGTTACTATGAGATTAAACAGTTTTCCAGCCACTTGCTCAACAACCTATGCCTTTAAGAAAGTTTCTCAATAGATGAATTATATTCAGTGGAAATGAGTTGTTCTGTTTTTCTACAAAGCCTGAAGTGAACCTTTCTGGGAAGGGGATGATATTTTGTAGCAATGTTTTCTCAAGTACAATTCTTTAGGTTCCCAAGTGATGACACATTGTACAGCAATGCTCTTGGCACAGGATGTACATCTGTGAGAAGGGACACTGGCCCCATTTTTTAAAGCCATTCATTAAATAAAAACACCCTATGTCATATGTTATGTTCCTCTGAAATGTTTAAAATTTTTTAGTGCATGAAATCATATGGTGCCTGTATATTTATTTTTTTTTTTGTTCTAGAACGCAGCACTAACCTCTAACTCAGTTACTGAACGTTGTTGGAAGAGCTTGCTATTTTTTGTTAGTGTTGTGTTTTGTTTTCATTTGGTGTGATCCCAACTTTATGCAATCGGCTTTTTCAGAAATACAGAACTATGTAAATGTGATGCTTACAACTGACCACAGAGAGGCCACTCACCAAAAAAATAACCTTACACAAAAACATCTGTAACAATTTTTAGGCACTTAGGGTGCCATTTACATGAGACTCTAGCCTATTTTTAATTTATTTTTTTTCTTCCTCTTTCTCCCCCTGTGGACTATATTAATTGCTTTGGGATCAAGAGGTCTACAAACATCTTCCTTCTATAAACAGAGGAACTGGTCTGGCCACTTTCTAAACCCTTTAAGGGAGATGACCCATCTCAGATAGCAAAATGGTGGCATTAAGTACAATCAGGGCTGTAGCTCAGAGTTCTGGTTCTGGCTTTCCTGGGTCATGTTATTCACGCTGCTGCAACTAGCCACCCATGTTTCTCCTCTCTCTCTTTTCCTGTCTGTTTAGACTTTAAGCTGTTAGAAACGCTCTGTTTGCACAGATCCTGGTACAGTGGGACTTCAGTCTCAGGCAAGGTCTCTGTGTGCTGGGGTAATTACAAATATAACAGTAACAATTACATTTCAAGCTTACCACACCTTGTTTGTGTTAATAAACCCAGCAAGGGAATTATACAGCTCCAGGTTTTGTTTGACCTACAGAAACATGACGTTATTACAGAAAAAGATTGTAAACTGATTCTGCAAGTCTCTGGCAACAAGAAAATCAATATGAGGTAGGTGACAGACAGTTCAAGATAAAAGAAAAAGGACCTCTTCATACCAATGGCCCCACATTGGAATCACACGTGTTCTTTTGGGGCCGTCCCAAAATAATTTCCTCTAAGAAGATCCTCTCATAAGCAACCTGTAAAACAGGTTCAGAAGGATCCCTCCCCTTCTCTCGTCCCTCTAAGAGCTCCTGGCCGTGCTGCCTGTGGCCGTGCTCCTTGCTCCTCCTGAAGCCACCCGCAGCAGCAGGAGTGGTGCCAGGCCAGCAGCCTGGCCAGCCCCGCCACCAACGGGCTGCCCCTGGTGCTTCGCTTCCCCCTAAATCAGCCATGCTTGAAATAGTAGAGCAAGCTGGCACGCAGAAAGGCAAATATTATTTTAGAGAAGCCGGTCTGTTACAAAATGCTCCCTCCCTTCACTCGGGCCATCATTTCAGTTGTGTATGAGAAATACGGAGAAAGAGAGTCCTTTTTATTTACCCGTATTTGTCCTGTGTTTCCCTCATAAAGATTTAAGCATTTCTTGTGGCAGGGGCCTAATCTGCTGTGTTGTGTTTTTTGTTTTTTGTTTTTTTTTTGACTCTAACAAGCTGCCTTGTTGCTTCCTTTGTTCTGGGTGCCAGCAGCTAAACTGGGAGTTCTGTTCAAAGACAAGTACCTGAAAGCATCACTTTAAAGCATTTGTCACCTTGTTATCTCTAGTTTGAAAGGGCTTTTGAGAACAACAACTGCCCAAAGCAGTTTGCAAAGGACAAAGTAAGCATTGCAAATATTGTAGTGTATATTTAATAGTTTTCTTGAACGGCTAAGATGAACCACAGCTGATAATGCAAGAGGCCAGGGTGAAACACAGCCCCTTCACTCTAGATATTTGCAGTTCAGGTATCCAGACCAACCACCCTGACCCTGCTCTTGCTGCGGTGCCTCGAGAAAAGCAAGAAATTCAGACACCTTCTCCCCAGAATAGGTAATTATACTCAAAATACATGAGCCATTCCTCATCAAAAACAGCAGCCTAGGTTAAATCATACTGTGAGGCTTTCATTTACTTTGCATGCTGAAGCCCATGAAGAATCCTGTATTCCAGCTTTTTGCCACAGCTGCACGTGCTAGAAATACATAGATATTATTTCAGGTTCATATTCACAAAAACACCTTGCTTTGGGGGAGGTGACTTCCACAAAGGCACCAAATATCTCAAGGCTTGATAAAATAACCAAGAGTTAGCAGTGTTTTTTCACCCACAATATGAAGGTTCAGCTTTTATTTGCCATGAAAACTATGTGACTTCATGCTGTGCTATAGCTCTTTAGGCCTGCTTTTCAGCACACACACTAGATTTTCAAATCCTATTGAAATAAATGGGAGCTGCAGGTGTTTTCTAACTTAGATATATAGGACCTGAGCATGCTTACAACTGGGATTCTCTTCCTGAATGCTCTAGCAAAGCAAAATATGCCTGACTGGAAAGACATGATCCACTATTTTCTTTTCTGCTATTAATCCTTACCCCAGCTTTGCAACAAATATGTGGGAAATCACAGAAGCAGCAAGAGCTATGGTCTCACTCAGTAACTGCTCCTCAGATCTCCATTATGAGGTGCTAAAGTAAGTTCTTCTACTTGTGGTAGCCTCTAGTTCTTGCAAACCATGTACAACCTCATAGAATTCACTTGCTCTTCTCCCACATTGAACAAAAATACAACAATAACAATAATGCAAGCCCTTGTGGCTTTGTGGATGCCTGAATGCTTCTTTGAGCCCACAGGACTTCAAGACAGCCCTGGGAACCTGCAAACACAGAGACTTCTTAGGCCAGTGAGGGCCCTTTCTAACACGTTCCTTGCAAGTCTTCAGAGCAAACTATTAGACCTTGCTAGACTCTTCCATCAGGTCCTATCACTTCCTGCTGTGGTTGGCTTGCTCAGCCTCAGAGTTAGAAATAAAAATAAATAAATAAATAAATAAAATAATAAGAAAAAAAAAACAACACTCAGCAATCAAAAGAGGCTAGTCAGCCACCCACCAGGCCAAATTAAGCCTGCTGGGAACTCAGGGCCAACTCCTCAAAGGCATTCAGGTGTCTAAACACCTTTGAAACCTGTCTAATGCTCTAGAAGATGGTTGGCAATAAGCCTTCTTGGGGTGCCTAGTGGGGAGGCGAAGGCTAGGCTCTGATGAGTACATGGCTTTGAGGGTGCGAGGTCGCTTCAGGGTTTTAAAAATAATGAGTTTTCCAAACAAGTAAATGTCAGGGTTCTTTTTAATGTCTTCTGCCTTTTGAGACTTCTTCCTTACCCACAGGTACCAGGAGCTCATTTTACTAGAAATGAAAGACTCCAAACTCTCAAGCAATAGCATGGCTTCGGGACCACAGAGTTTCAGACAAAGAAC